GAAATAGCTATACCTAGACCAAATTAACACTAAGAGTGTATCATAATATTAAAGATGTTACAATATTAAAGGTTTAGATTTCTATTATTAGGAATATTCTCCCTTGTTTAACCCTGCTGTCACTGTGTTTCCTACATACAGATGACCCCTAGCTATTGCGATAAAGCATGCTGATCTTTCTCAAGTGAGATGCCAGAGAGGTATTGCAACAAGCTCTTGCTTCTTAGCATGACATCAGTCCATTTCAACAGTGGCCTTGGAGCTGGCGTTTAAAGCAGTTTTGTTCTGATACCCAAAGAATTGGGCGTTTTGTTGCTATCATCTTCTCTATGCCACAGGGGCTGTCTTATTCCCATCCCCTCTCTCCAGTTTTATTGCTGTGAAGAATACCGAAGAAATATAAACCAAATGTGTGTCTGAAAACAGTCTAGGTAACAACTCCAAAAGATACAAACTGGGCCACATCTTGCATATGTTCAGCACTGGTGATTTAAGTGTTGACATTGTCATGGTGACAATTAAGAAGCAAGAAGGGGAGGATCCTATATCTGTGTGGTTTAATGGAAATATTTTGGTGCTGATAATCAGCTCTCATCAAGAACCACTCAAACTTAGGCCTAGCAGTGCCCATGGTATGACCCCCTTTTAGAGGGGAGCCAAGCTAGAAGTGCATACTGAGCAGCCCTGGTTTTGGTGAGCAGTATTTCATCTGGAGAACTGGGACAGATGTCGCTTAACTAGTGGGTGCTGACATCACTTTGGACATTAGGTCTTTGATAGGAGATAATAAAATTTGACCATGTGGCAATAAAAGGCAGTGGTGAGGCCACTGGCATTTAATGAATCACTTTTGAAAGTGTTTGGAACTTTTTCCCATTTCTAAGCTATAATCTGTCAGAGAAGGACTTTATAAAAGTATTTATCCTCCATTCTGTGTGTAAAAATTTCTGCTTTATTTGGTCTTTGATTAATTATGTTTTTTTTCTATTAGGAAAGCAAGCCATAACCTGTGTAGGAGTACCCCAAAATGACCTGATATGATTAATACTGTTACAGACTTCAGTTGAATGGGTGCTTCTTCTCCCAGCTGTGGGAACTGAAGAAAGTAAAATATTTCTGAAAAGTTCTTGAATCAACTTTTTCTCTTATAGAGAACTTTCTAGTAGAGAATTAAAGTTGCTTAAGTGTATTTCCTTGCAATGAAAAATCTAAAAATAATAAGGGATCATAAATAAGGTGACATTTATATTCAGTGCAGTTCTCATTGCTATCAAATTCCATAACCACAACCCTCTTGTACAGACATTCAATTTAACAATACATCACTTTTCATTCACAGCTCTTGTAATGCTTGCCCTTGGCCTCCAATAGCTTGCTATTTGCTTGAACTGCAGACGGTAAGCACTTGAAGTAGTGTACATCTGTACTTGTTAGTAATGTTTGCGCAAGGTTTAATTTAGCACCATATATTGTATTGCAGCTTTCACTTTCTGATAAAGGTGATGTGAGGAAATTGTTTTGCTAAGTAGGGACTGCGAAATTCATTACTTACTGTATGTTATTTTAATGTAGTTTTTTTTTTTAATTCTAGGTGGATTTTTGCTATTTGAGGGCTGAACAATGTAATGGTGGAGTTCAGTCTGGGCATTTGTGTCCTGGAGTACATGAGAATGACAGTTACTAAAGAGGTTACTAGCAGCTTTCTGCCAGTTCAGGTATGTAGTGTGATGAGGGTGAAGTTACTCCCTTGTATATAAGACAGAGAAGTTAGAATGCAGCATTTCTTTCCCTGTGTGTGTATTTGAAGCATGGAGTGCAAATTTTTACTTCCTTTTGTGCTCTAATTGAGTTGTATAAGACTGCCCTAAAATTTGCCGTATTTGTAACTGGATAGTGCTATAAATGTGTGTCCAGGTGCCCAAAATGCAACCCTTCTTCTTAAAATAACTTGTCAGTTTATTTTATCTTATTTATTTTTTCTTTTTAATGGAAAAATGAAGTACATTACATTTGTTCATCTGGCCTATTTAATCTCATCCAACCGCGTATCATATGTGACTTAAATATCAAAATGTCATGGGAAACTGTGAGTAATCTGAGGCACTCAAGGTCTGACTAAGGCAACTGTTCAAGGCCGTACTGAGAGATAAAATATTTTTAAAAGACCGTTGGAAGTCCTGGTCCAAGCTGGCATGCCTCAGTTGTGGTGGTGTTGTGAGTGGTGCAATCAGAAACTTCAGAAACTAATGTAAAGCTTCTCTTTTTGTCTGTGTTGCTGCATTTCATTAAAAAGTTATCAACATCATCTGTAACTTCAGCAGCACCTCAGTCTCCACCTTTCGGTCCTTTACTTCTTCCTAATATATTTCCCCAAAGTGGCATTCTTCCAAACTAATAAGCATGGGTAAATGTACATCTACTTGTGGACCACTGGAGACCAGTCTTCACCTAGATGTAACTGTAGATCTACTTGAAGACAATTCCATTAATCGCTACAGAGCCGTAGTTGCTCAGTGCAACTCAGCTTGTCCAAAAGCATGATGTGCTTGTCCGAAAGGAATTCACTGCGGCTATCAATGAAATTCACTCAACAAGTTCATAACAAATTTTGACTATTACTAATACAGTACAAGTGAATGTATTAACAGTGCAATTGTTGTTTGAAAACAGCACTATTGCTTATGAGAGAACAGCTTCTATTTTCCTTGCACAATTTTCACATATTGCTATTCATTTAAAGTGAAAGAGAAATGAATAGAGACTCAGGGTTTGTAATCTGGATATTTTACTATGTCTGTTGTACATATAGTAATTTATTTTAACTTCACTGTGTGTGTTTCTTCTCTCTGTCTCCATTAATATCCTTTAGGAATGACTGGTTTATGTTTTTTTTTTTAAACTATAACTTCAAAAGAGAAATGAGATTTTCTCAGCATGCTAAAATCTTGGGTGGTATACAATGTTGTCATTAGTCATATAATTTAAAATTAACACCATTGGCAAATGCTGCTTTCAAACTTCTATTGAAATATCATAATATATAAAGGCAGAAGGGCTTTTTTTGCTGATCTGGATTTACATTTGTATAATATACAGTCAATAACTTGAGAGATCTTGTTATAGGTTGATTACTCTTTTTCAGTATATCCCTTGTTTTTGTATCCTGTTATTCACTCGAAGGGCTTAATTAAATGAATCAGAGTATAAGCACACATTTGCTGCAACAATCACAATTCCCCAGAGATAATTTTCTTTGGCTTGTCTTGCTGGGATTTCCAGGAAAGTTCCCAGAAGCAGTTTCACAGAATAGAGGGATTTCTCCTTTTAAACCCTTTTTTTGGTGTTACACAAATTTGAATCCAGAAGAGTTTAATTTTTGAGAAATAACCGTGAATGCTACATGCATGTGTGCCTCTATAATAACCAAATCTTCAGAATAAATTGAATTTAAGTTGAATCTTATTTGATTTCTGTGGTTGGCTTTGGAAACATTTGGTAGTTATTTTCCATTGAAATTCACAGCCGCTTGGGGCAGCAATATGCTTAAATGTTTCTCTTGTTATTTCGTCTCTGTAATCTTACTTTTAAAAGTGTTTTTTTCCCTTATTTCCTCTTTTGTGTATACTTGTCTTTTACATGGCAATAGATAATTCTGCATTTGGTGTTGGTGGTCTTCGTCTTAGTGTGTGTGTATCTGTGTTGAAGGGGAACAGTTTGTAGCTCTGTAAAGAGTGTTGTTCTTTGATTTTGAGAAAAGGAGATGGAGAGATTTTAGTTTACATTCATATGGCTGAAATAAAAATGCGTCCTCTCCATTCAAGAATGTGGCTGTGATTTTCCAAAATGACTTGTAAAGCTTAGATGACTCCATTTATGGGTGACTACACTGGCACATTTTTCAGAAACAAGTCTTAAGCAGAGAAGGTTCAGCATTACAGGCATTTTTAACAGGACAAGCTGCCCCAAAGAACTAGCAAAACTTTCAACTGCTGCTGACTGCGAGTGCAGTGCAGTTCTCCTGGTCTCTGCTGCATGTGTTGGGTCAAGGTGCTTGATTCTGTATTAGACTTTAAATAAAGATGATTCATGTCTCAGTGTACTGAGAGTCTGATGATAACAGGCATTGAAGAAGCACATGGAATAAGTCAAAAGGGAGAAGTTCTTCTGGTATTTATTTATTTAGCTTATAAACATAGAGATTAAATAAAGATATTTCTACGAGAGCAAGTGAAACCTTCTTAGCACACAGCAGACTGACAAGGTACAAGCCAGCTTTAATTCAGAAACTCTACTGCTATGTCAGCACACCACAGTGTAACAGGAAATATTAACTCAGGTAATAGCAGGCAAAGTAACCTGCTAACCTTGTTGCACAATGTTTGTGCTCATGCCTAAGAGCTCAACTGGTGTTTGTTGCGACTAAGTGTTATACCTAGGAGCTCCAGCTGATACATGATTCCAAATGGCAAATACAAACTAAGAAAGAGAACCTGCTTCCAAAACTTCATCGTGAATTGAAAGGAAGCTTAGATGAAAATGATCATCCAGCTCCATCACTTGCCAAAACAAGACTGTATCCTGCAGGCTGTTTTCTAGCATTTGCTGGTCTGGCTATAAAAGCACCAAATAGGATCCATTACTGGGAAGAGTCTGGGAGACTGTTCCATTGTTTTTTTTAAAGACGTCATGCCAGTACATTGTCTTCCAAAATTAAGTATTTGTTTTTTTCTTATCTTAATTACATCTTATCCTTGGTTATGTTCTGAGATACCAAATTAAAATCTGTCATTCTTAAAGGCTATAATATAGTGTTGGCTATTACAATTCACCTTTGTGTCATCTAGCTGACCAGCCTGGTGTGTTGATCACAATGAGGGAAGGGGCTGCTCAGTTGTGTGAACATAATTTCTCTATGTCACAGGGACCAGGGCAAATGATGGCTACAAAACTCCTTTTACCTTCTTTGTGCATCTGGCCTGCTCTTGCCTAATAAATCAGTTCCATCCCATCCTTTACTTTTCTCCAATGGATGTTGGCCTGCAGATGTCTCTACTTTAGCAAGTTGTGTAACCTGGTAAGAGTGTGGGGTGGATGCAAAACAGGACCTGTAAAGTAAGATAGTTGATGATGAGGGCTTAACATCCACACTCATGCACGCTTTAAGGTGCTGGAGTAGTTCTGGGCTGATCCCTCAGAATGGATCTATGTACTGGCTAGAGATCATTAGATGCACTCCTGCACTGCATTTTCTGATTTTTTTTTTCTTTTCTTTTCTTTTTTTTTCCTGAAAATCTGTGTGTCTGACACTTGTATAAACCAAAGCAGGGATGAACTAAAATGCTAATGTAGTTACAACCCAGATCCTTCTGGGAATGTATTGTCCAGAGCTGAACGCAATGTTAAATAGCAGCAAGAGAGATTTGAGTCAGATCTCAGGAAAATGTTTGTAATAGTAATGACAGTGAAGCAGTATGGAAGCTGAATAAATTCCATGATGAGACATTTTTAGGAAAAGGCTAAACAAAACAGAATTTGGGAATATGATAGATAGACACAGGTGTTCTTGCATAGAGAAACAGGAATGGATTTGATCAATTTATGACTGGAGGGAAGAGGAGCCCAACAAAGCTGGTGAGCATTTAAGGATCACCTCCTTTAAGCTCAGGAGTGATGCAACTTGAGAAAGAGGAAGCCAGGCAAAACAACAAGGAGGCCTGCATGAATGAATGAGGAGCTCCTGGACAAACTCCATCACAAAAAGGAAGCCTACAGAGGGTGCCAGCAATGATGGGTAGCCTGGGAAGGACACAGAAATTGTTCGAGCTGTCAGGAATTGGGTTAGGAAAGTTAAAGCCCTGACAGAATTAAATTTGTCCAGGAACATCAAGGGCAACAAGAAAAGCTTCTATATGTATGTTATTGATAAAAGGAAGACTAGGGACAATGTGGAACCTCTCTGGAAGGAAATAGGAGACCTGGTTACCTGGGACATGGAGAAAGCTGAGGTACTCAATGGCATTTTTACCTTGGTGTTCCCCAGCAAGAGCTCCAGCCACACTCACCAAGACACAGAAGGCAAAGGCAGGGACTGGGAGAATGAAGAACCTCCTGCTGTAGAAGATCAGGTTTGAGACCATCTAAGGAACCTGAAGGTGCATTCATTCATGGCAATTTACTCTCCCAGATACTGAAAGTTTTCAATAAAGTTGAAACAAAAATGGTGTCTACTAAGTAATCTACATTGCTGGTGATAATCCACTATTAGCCAGATTTCAAAACATGCAAGTGGTTCTTTTCAGGCCTGTTTAAATTCAGGTTCACATCAGACATAATAACAAATAGTCTACTAAACTGATGGCATATGATTGCTTCCTGCCTCTCATTTGTAATTTAGTCAAGCAGAACAAAAAATTTCAGCCATTTGCCTACTCTATGTTATCTATACTGTGAATTTTTAAGTGTCTTGAAACAGAATCGTTCCCCACAAAATACACACTTCAGAGCCAAAACCCAAATAAGTCCCACTTCTAATTGTCAGGTTACTCAATAAATTTGGACTTATTTGCCATTTAATTTAAATGGCTGTTAAGATCTTAAGTCACTAACATTCCTTTTAAACCCCTCCCTGTTCTATAATTGTTACTTTATGTATTTTCTTCTGTAGCTTATGAGGCACCCGGTGTCCCAAGAGGACTAACCTTTCCAGTGTATAGTACAGGTGTCCGGTTTCAACACAGAGGACCAGTGTAGCCTTGCCTCTTGGCTGCTGCTTAATGCAGTCTCTCGGAAAAGGAAGAAGTAGATTGAAACCTACTCTACAACAGTGTTTTAAAATCCAAGTCACTTGTTTCCCAATATTTTATTTCGACGTTGACTCCTGCTGAGAAGATAACAAAGATTGAGAGCTCCAAGGTCATTACATGTGTGTGGTTTTGTGCTTTCTGATAACATTTAATTAGAAAAATATATGTTTTTATTTCTGAGATAATTCTATTTTGCTAGTATAAATAGTATTCAGAAAGATATTTTTTTTTATGTCCAAAATTAGTTGTATACCACTATGCATATCTGATACTGAATTTAGTACTGTTGAAAAAGAACAATAAAGGGGAAGTGTTTTGGTACAAACACTAGTTTTGGAATGAAAACATTTTCAGCTATGAGGCTTCATTAGTTCTGCAGTTAGCAAATACTTCAACTGACACTGTTGTCAAACCAAGGACATAAAACTGAGAGTGTGATATGTTATCTGCTGCCAATTACGTAAGTTCATGATGCATAAGTTATTGCAAAAAATAAGGTCATGACTCCTAAACCAATTCCTTTTGAAGTTGTAGTTCTTCATAAAACCTCCCTCATATTTGTATATTTTTGTTGGTTAACTCTTAACTGAATTTATGCAAGTGCTTATGAAAATGAAATATTATATGACATTTAAAAAAAAAAGCAGAACCTTGCATGGTCTACAGGAATACCAACTTGTTGATATCAAACTTTTATAGAGAGGTGAATCTGTCTGAAATACGTATTTTAGTTTCTAAACAAAGAGCTTAATCAAAGTTCCGTATCAAAATGTTGCTTGAAAATAAAATATTTTGACCACCAACCATAAATATTAAAGTTATTATGGAACATTATCTAGTGGATAGGTAAAAGGATTCGGATTCAACCTGCACAGTTCTTGTCTTACCTTTTATATGGTCTTTTATGGTAATCTTACAGTAATCACTGAATATTTGATTGCCTTCATTTATCTTTCTGTATGGCTAAATGTGAATAAATGTCATATTTGTCATATGAAAATACCATGTAAGTAATAGACTTAAGCCTTCATTTGAAAAATTCCAGCAGAGCTGGAAAGAGTGTCAGAGGAACAAATCACTCCCCTGAGAACTGGAACACTGAGGTTCTTCTTCATGTCTGGGCCAGAGGTTTCAGAAACTTTAAGAATCAAACTGTCATGATACTAAAGATGCTTAACACCTTCATCCTAATGTAAAAGATTTGTTAGAGGATCATACAGGGTCAGGGTTTTTTTTCACTTCAGACAAAAAGGTATGACTTTTAAATACTACCTCTTTTGAAAATTTGAATGAACCATGACCTTTGGAGATTATTTGACAAAGCTGCCCCTAGAACAGCTAGTAGTCCTTAGAATCATCCTTGTTCTGTCTTATTCAGGTCAAGGGCTGAAAACCAGGTGCTTCATAGTCTGCTAAATGACTTTACCAGAAGTCTTTGTTGTTTTTTTTTTTCTCTTGAATTTTTGGGACCCCCTCAGCTACCTTTTGTTGCTCTGCAACTTACCAAGTGTTTGCAAATTGTTGCCTGTTCACTGGCCTGGAAAAACATCAATGCAATAGTCCAATGAGCAGTCTAAGTTCAAGCCCTTGTTCCAATTAATGTTTAATTTTTTATAGAAAGTGAAACAGGTCCAACAGAGAGACAGAGGAAGCTGTTCATCAGAATAACTGAGAGTTTGGTGGCCAGAAAGCTTGCCTGGGATGCAGGATTCTGACATTCAGACATCTTGCAGAACACAAACTTGAAATGTGGACTCCTCTGGCACCAAGCAGTGTCTTGATCGTAGGATGATTATCTGAGAGGGGTGACAGTTTTCTTGCTCTTTCATGTACTCCAAGTCTCATCCTAGGCATGAGAATCTTTCTCAGGTAAGAGCTTCATGAGAACTGGTAAGTACCTTAAAAAAGTTCTGGTCTTAAGAGAGTATAATTCATCAGTGAAAAAATGCATCACTGTAAATTCTGATGGGGGCATGACTAGTTTTCATGGCCATGTAGGTCCAGAGTGGCTTGGCCATTGTGAAGATGTCTCAAAGTCCTGTGTTTGAAGGAGAGGTCAACAGGCAGCGCTGAAGGGCATGAATTTCCAGAATTCTGTAGAATACCAAAGCACATGTGTGCGTAAGTGTCAGACTTTTAAATCGGCTGTTGTTACAAAAGTTTAACGATGGGTTAATGGTCACATACAAACATTGGTTTGGGCATTAGGCTTATGAGTCTTGCTGGTTTTAAACACTTCAGCCGACACTGATAATGAACACAGGGCATAAAACCAGGACCCTGACATGTGATCTGTTGCCAGTTGCCTTCAAACTACCATGTCTGATGAGGAAAAAAAGAGAGGAAGTGGATGGAGAAAAGGGACAGGTCATCTGAACTCTGATAATTAATGTTCCTTAGAAAATAAAAGTTTTGAAACTTTCCTGGAAATTAGGTTTTATGATCTGCTACAATGGCCCACCAGGGATGCTGCAACCTACACATATTGACAGTTGTGGTATTATCAGACAATTCATTTTTATGAGTAATTTCAGGAGCAATCCTCAGCCATGCAGTCACGCATACAGTGAAGCAGTGTGCCATACAAGAAAGACTCAGCTAGAGGACAAAGATTATACAGATTTACTAATATTTGGGAAAAAAGATCTTAACAGGAGAAAGTAAGTTGAGCAACAGAAGGGGGAAGAAGGAATGGACTTGACAGCAAAGTGAGCTCTGTAAAGGATGTGTGCAGAGCACAGTGAACTCAATGGAAATATTTCCATTGATTTTTTAAGTTCTTGGATAGATCTCAAACACTTCTTATACCTTTCACCCTCCTGTATGAATGGAAAATACATTCTTTCTTGTTCATAACTAGCATAATTTAGTGTCCAAGCATCACAATAAAAATATTGATCACACTTGGGATGCTGGAGCAAAGAATCCTTACCTAAGCAGCCCCAGAAGTGGCTTGACATTTCCAAGGGTTGAACAACCTGAAAATCCTAATAGTACCTTCATCTTTTCATTAGACTCAGAATACTCTTATCCTTTACCTAACTGTGCAAATTCCACTCTGCTTTCTGCTTTAAAATACAGAGAGTAATGGAGCAATTGGATCTATAATACTGTTCTCTTAAATCTTTCTCCATAAACACTTTTCTTGTAAAGGTAATGATCGTTTAGTCTTCTGTTTATGTATAGTCTAAGTAGTTATAGCTTTTACTTTTAAACAGCTATTAAATAGTTCAGTAGTTCTTAAACCATGCCAAGGAATACTTGGAATAAAAGAACAATGATTAGAGGCTACTGAAAGTGAAGTTGAAGAGCTGAATTTGATTATATATCTTTCAGAATTAAAAAACATTTCTGTCAAAGTCCCTATTAAAGAGGGTTAGAGAAAGTGATATTCTTTATATGAAGTGAGGCTACATAGGTCATGAATCATGACTCCAAGTGATACATCTACAAGATCCACTTGATCATCTACTTTCAAAATCCTTCCTTCTATGGGAAGAAAACTTTGCTGACTAATGTAACTAGCGTTTGACAAACTGATCCTGCCATGATAGCAACTCTTATTTCATCCTACACGCTGAAGATCATAATTTAACACTAGGCATTAAGCAAGGCTAGCTGTGGGGAAGTAGATCTACTAGTGTTTTACTACTGAACTCAATTGAAATCTGAAGTCAAGTCAAACCTGGTTTAAGTACTCTGTTGATTATTTTCTTTAACATGGTTTGAAAGACCAAGGCCGCTTTATTGCATTGGGTAGGTAAGTTACCATCAAGACATGCTGAGATGAGGAACTGGTGGCAACATACAGAAAGAGAAATGCACATTACACCCCATCACTTTGGAGATACAAGAATAAACTTCCTTATAAAGAAAACTAGAACATTTTCTGTAGAGAATGGTAAAGAGAGAGTCCTAACTGTTTGATGGATTGTAGCCTTCTCAGTAAGCAGGAGGTGAGACATGAGCAATTCTAGGTCCCTATGCATGAGCTCCTCACCTTGCTCAGTCTGTACATGGCTGGAGTGCCTGCTTGTCATTTTCCTCTCTACCAGGAGGCCAGCTGTGTCAGAAAGTCCAAATGCCATGGTCTGAGGACTTACTCATACCCTTCAGTAGCATTGCTGGCTTTCGTGGTTCACTCCATGTTGCTTCCTCTAAATTCTGCAAGTTAGCATTGATATGTTTTACATCTGCCATTGGTAGTCATAGTTACTGCATGTATTAGGATCTTGAAGCTGAGTCAAGGTGACCTTCATCAACAATAAGTATTTAATGAGTAAAACCAGGACCTGGTTCTCTTTAAAAGATCAAAGGAGAACATCTGGGACTGATTGTGTCAAGGATAAGGTATTCGGCAGCTTGGCAAAGTGACTATTTGATTAACCAGCTTGGCACTGAAAGTAATTTTTAGCGTGTACTGAAGTGAACTGCCTTCATTATAATGGGTGGTATTTCTCAGGGTTTGGTATTGGGACTAGCACTGTTTAGCATCTTTGTCAGTGACATGGGCAGTAAGGTTGAGTGAATTGTCAGCAAGTTTGCTACATGGAGGGGTAAACATGATGTAAGGAAGGGATGCCCTCCAGAGGGACCTTGACAGCCTGGAGAGGTGGACATGTGTGAACCTCATAAGGTTCAACAAGGCCAAGTGCACAGTCCTGCACCTGGATCAGTGCAATCCTGAGCACACATACAGGCTTGGCGGTGAATGGACTGAGAGCAGCCCTGAGGACAAGGGCTTGAGGGTCTTGGTTGAAGAAAAGCTCAACATGACCCGGCAGTGTGCACTCACAGCCCAGAAAGCCAACTGTGTCCTGGGCTGCATCAAAAGTAACATGACCAGCAGGTCAAGGAATGTGATTCTCCCCCTCTGCTCTCTCTCATGAGTTCTCATCTGAAGTACTGCATTCAGGTCTGAGGCCCCAAACACAAGAGGGACATGAACCTGCTTGAGAGAGTCCAGAGGAGGCCACAGAAACGATCAGAAGGCTGGACCACCTCTCCTATAAAGATAGGCTGTCAAATTTTGGCTTGTTGAGCTTGGAGAAGGCTTCAGGGAGACGTTCCAGCAGCCTTCCAGTACCTACAAAGGGGGCCTACAAGAAAGCTAGGGAGGGACTTTTTACAAGGGCATGTAGTGACAGGACAAAGGGGAATGGCTTTAAGATGACAGAAGGGAGCTTTAGGTAAGATACTGTGAAAAAATTTTTTACTATGAGGGTGGTGAGACACTGGAAGAGGTTGCCAGAGCTGTGAATGCCCTGTCCTTGGAAGTGTACAAGCCCAGGCTGGATGGGGCTTTGAGCAACCTGTCTAGTGGAAGGTGTCCCTGCCCATGGCAGGGGGGTTGGAACTAGATGATCTTAAGGTCCTTTCCAACACAACCATTCTATGATTCTATGATAATATTGTCATAGAATCACAGAATGGTTTAGGTAGGAAGGGACCTTAAAGATCTAAAAAGACCTAACGGTCTAAAGATTATTCTATGACAATATTAAAAATCATACCCACAGGTCAAAAAGACCCTTATGCAGGTGAAGACCTCTTCTCTGAGCATGTGTATCTATATGAATGAACATCTAATCATGTTTATTAATAACCCATCAATATGTAGTGGGACATGTACCAATCTATTATTGTTGTGTATAAAAGAGCACTGAAACTTTCTGTTCTTGTGCTTCATTTGTGGAAAAGTCCAACAAGCACCTCAGCCTGAATAAACACAATATTTCTCCTGAGTGTGTGGAACTGACTTATTGCATGCTGGACATAAATCTGCTTTTTGGATAACAGTTTTTTGTGACCCAGATAGGACAGCTATAACACTTTGCCCATATCCACTTGCCAGCTCTTGGCAGGGAGACACTGCTCTTTGGACTCCAGTGTGCATTGACCTCTTGACGGGAGACTCTGTGATTTCCAGCCAGAGTGGGCAAGTGACACAATGGTGCAATGCTTAAGAGACACTGTTTTGAATAAGGTTGTGCATGCACTTAAGAAGGATTGTTGATAAAATAGATAAAATTTACATATGCTTGACAGTGATAATTGGAGTATTTGAAATTGTGGATCAGAATGGTCTTTTTTGGGTAAAAATGTGAAAATTCAGCCATATAAAATGA